CTTCCCATCATGACGTTTCAGAGCTTAATTTTAGCAACTGGGAATTTGATCGTTGTTATTACTTTTTGCCGTAGTCGACCCAGTGTCGATCATTTAAGGGAGAACTGCTTTGGTTTTCTCTAACAAGGAAAGCTTGGCCAGCAGAATGACAACGTTGCTAGAAAGAAAAAAAAATCTAAAAATGTAGGAATCGAAATAATGTCGTGTACAATGCGGAAACCCTCACCATTATGTTATCTTAATAAGTGCTTTTCAAAGCAGGGATTGCTTTACTTCACGGCACCTTTTTATGAAGCTCAAACAATCATAATCTGTATTGGTAGACTAGTATAGAATTCTTTAACACACCTTGTTATGTATTTAGTCCATAGTTCTCCTTCCAACATCTTGCATTTAGTGGAGTGATTATAGATATTCCGAGATTTCGTACTGAATACCTGACGTCAAACATTGGTGGGAATTTGTGATTTTCATGTATTGGTTTAAGGGGAACTAGTACAGCTGAAATGACATTTTTTGTTTGGGCTCTTAATTAAGTGTACTGGGATTCCCAATAACCAGTATTGGTCAAGAAACAGAAACACACTATCCCTATATGATTTCACTGTCAATTTTTTAAATTTTTAAGATGCAAAGGGTTCGACAGACCAAAATTCGTGCAAATTGTTGGCAGAGATTGTGTAAAAAGATTGAATTGATACAGCCTTGATATTATCACACAGTGTTTGTGTATATACAACCTGCAACGTACTAAAGATTTACTTTCCTAAGTCTCATACTTTTCTTGTAACTGCCCTTTTAGTGTCATATACGATACTTGGACAAAAAAATGATCACAAATCAGAGTTATACTGCCAATCTTTTTAACACTGACGGAAGACTTATTACAATATCACAATAATCTTTTAGTACGTTCCAAACATAGTATCTAGAAACAGTCATGCAAAGTGGGATTCAGCTGCGACGAGTACTTTTAGAAATATCTCTGCCAAGGTGACCCACCCCCCCTAAGACAATCATAGCTTTGAGAAAACTTTAAAAAACACGAGTTCATACCATTCTATTACGACATAATGTTAAAAAACATGGCACATGTGAGCACTTTATAGATGTTTTGGACACTTGAAAATATTTCCAATTGATAAAGCAGATGTTGCTCTACTAAAACCTAGCTAAGGACGGTCTTTGTACTTGGACATTGTATCCGTCCCAAACCTGATTGGTCCTGACAGGTAGGGTCAAAGCACCTCAATTACAAACTGATCTAAATAGCTTGGATGGGATCGCAAAACTTCTAGAATTACATGATTTTATGGAGCAAGTAAAAGAGAGTTACGTTGTAAAAAATCTATGCTACATATTAATAATATGACTAGAAGGAATTTTAATAATACGATCAATTGGAATTAACAGGCGGGTCATTGCAGTTATTTTCGTAGTGTAGGCCTTCCATTATATAAAAAGACAGTACATAACTTTTCAGAAGATCGTTGACTTAGCAACAGCATACCTCTGGGCAGCATGTGACATCCCCTGATGTCTGGGTCATAACCAAAGAGCGTTTGGTACTGGTGAAGATAGATTTCCTTGCCCACCACATGAGATTCTCCACTGCTCCATTTGGTCAGTGAAGCTCCGCAGAGGTAAATATGTACACCTTCGACCATGACATCGGATGTAGCTTCGAAGGACACTGAACCTAGGTTGAGTAAAGAAAAACACACGGCCTTTGCGTGCTAGGAAAGACAATACGTATACAAACGTACACCCACAGAGGGGAAAGAAAAGAAGTAAAACCTACAAGTGGATCCCTTCAACCACACACACACACATTGAACATAGATAAAGGAACAATCAATACTCGGGATGTAATCTGCAGGGTAAGATGATGTTATAGTGTTTATGTTCGTGACCACGATGACGACGACAGCAATGATATCTTGTATTATGATAGTAACTTCCCTCTTTCTATCTCCTCCTATTAAAAGTCAAGTCTTCACTCGAGTAACCCAAATGCATTTAAAGTCTTTGGACGAAGAGATTGGCCCCGTAGAAGTGGAGCTCGCATTATTAATACATTAAAATGCTCTTCCCTCTGGTCCTTAAATAAAAAGAAAAAATGGTCTGATCTAAGTTGCTGATAACCATGTGATTTTAAAATACAGAGTTTAAATAACACTTATTAATCACAGAACCTACTTGGATAGAAAGAAACCGCGTGCTGGCATACGTTTATGTACCTACCTTTGACGGATTCTCCATGTCTGTAGACCCTCTGTGAACCAGGTGTAGTGAATGTCTCATTGATGATTTTTTGACTCATCATCTTGTGTCTTCACCTCTTTCGGACGCTTTAAATCTTGTTCTATGTTTTTCCCTACTCAGAAGCGTTCTGTAAAAGAAAAATGAGGCAGTAACAGTCCCTCTCTAACAACAAAGGTTATTAAACCTAAAAGTCTAGATCTAGTTTAGACCGTTAGCCTCATGAAGTAAAGCTACGTCCGTGATGTTTTTTTTTACTACATCTTACTGTCACAAAATTTCTTAAATAAAAAAGAAATAGACCGTAGTTCGAGCTGAAATGCCCCGTGACTGATAATTGCTATTTTCGGGATTTTCCACCTTGCGAAATGTGTACCACCACTGAACAATGGTTATAACGACAGTGTAATTTGATAGCTGCTGATTGTGAAGCGCAGATTAGCAAAGATGGACTGGCCTTTGGGGAACACAAACCGAAACTAGTCTAATTCGTTCCCTAATCTATGTGTAGCATAGATTAATAGCCATGATCACATCCTCTTTTGTTTGGTCATAGTTTTGGCAACACAAAGGGATAGCACTTTTGTCCTTATGCAGTTGCGAGCGCCGTAAAAACCCTCTACTATTAAAACAGAATTTTCGGGATAACCCATTTGTGTTTAAAAGCGACCAATTACTAAGTGGGGAAATTTTTATTTTATTTCTGATTCTGTCTGTCTGCTCAGACGTATTTGCCACCGGGGAGAATATTAAAATTTATTCTAGGCCCAAGGTCCTTGTATCCCACTCAGCCCGAGTCCAAACATCCCTGATCTATATTTGGTCCACGAAGCCACAAACACACTATACAGTCCTTTTACCCAGAAGTTGCAATACTTGTGTGGGCTTTTGTCCGCGACCTCGGCCGACCTTGTGACGCAAGGTTGATTTCCCTGTTATCTGTTGGTTGAGTGGTGTGTACACACATGTAGTTTACACTTGGCCAGGGCACGCGCCTATGCGCGGTGTGTTTGTTTGTTTGTGTGTCTGTGTGTGTGTGTGTTTGTGAGTATGCGTGCGAGTGTGTGTTCCTGTGTGTGTGTGTGTGTGTGTGTGTGTGTGTGTGTGTGTGTGTGTGTGTGTGAATGATTGTTTGTATGGGGGAAGAGTAGATAAGTGCATATCTAGATCTAGATCTTTAAAGTACAAATTGCTGGGATGGTTGTATGAGTAGACAAGTAAAAACAACAGAATTTTATTCAATGATTTCCAAAGCAAGTAAAGAACACTTGAATAATCTTACTGGTGTTGAACTTTTATCAGTTTATTATGTTTATTGTTTGTTCTTATATTTGTTGCAGGCACCTTTGACCTTTGGTTCTGAAGACTGAATTTGTGGCAAATACGAATACTCGAGAAGATATTATGAATATACTGACAATGTATTTCCCAGTTGCACATGGAGCGTTTTTGTACTTTAGCAAGCATCTCAAGTTGTTGCAACACTTAAGTTAACAGAGCTAGTCTAATATTTTTTTATGATGTCCAGGGGCGAAGGCTGACTTGTTTGACAGGGTAATCGAAGTGAAACGGGACCAGATATAGATCTATATGGCCTGTAGATATCACATAAGAATCTTACTCGAGGCGGCGACTCTGACTGAGTTGTAAATGAAAACAAATCCGGAATTCATATTGTATGTTCAACCGCCAAAATAATCGGGAAAGTATCTTATTAAATATCAGTTCCAACTAAAATTAACTTAACTTTAGATGTGAATACATAAACACAAAGCAAAGAAGCAAAGATGTCAGTACTAGATTTATATGTTATAGATCTACCAGAGAGTCTAACTCTTTGGTAGAACATGACAATTATCATTTTTTAAATTTCACATTTGGCTGTTTTTGTTAGCCTTTTGCGGCCAGGAGCTGGTGTCATAATCGAGGTCACGATCTGATTATAGGACAGTAAAAAGTCGAGGGAAAAAAAAAGCACATGCAGCAGTAAAGAGATTGTTAGGAGTTAGTTCCCCTCACATTTGTGAGGTAGACTCGACCAGTGTTCGTTAGCTTACTTAATCAGGGCTTGTGATTGATTTTAACTGTGGCCCCAAAGGGGTGAACAGGGTATATGTGGCAATGAAACAGCCATGACTGCTATGCACATGTTCCCTCAACTGTATTGGTAGATTCTTTCAGCCTCACTTTAAGCTTACTTAATCAAAGCTTGCGACGGATTATGGAGTGGCCCGAGAGGGGTGAGGAGGCTATTTCTGTGGCGGTGAAACCGTTTTGAATTTTAGGCATGCTCATTGTGGATTACGAACCTCTTTTTACTTTTAATTTAAGAGGTTTACGTTTAAGGATGAACTTGACAGCGACAATGTTTCAAAATTAGGAAGGGAAGCAATGATTATTTGATTATATAGACGCTTCGCCCCTGATGATGTCTTTTGTTCGGATATAGGCACTGAAGAGGGTCTGAGGGATAATTAATTTACAAATACCGGCACACTGTGTCGCCCTCCATGTAATCAGCGTCCTACTGTTTTGCTTCACTGATGATGCCTCTTCCTTGATTTTATGGGTTTGATGAAACGAGGACAAATTAAATAACTAAGCTTCTTTAAGATGAAGCCAGTGATGTAGGCATCATAATTTTTTTGGTTTTGGTATGTGTTTTACGGCGCTTGTAACTGCATTAGGTCATATGAGCACGCGTGACACATTAAAAACTCAGTTTTTGGCAGGAATTATTTTTGAATTTTGCCTAGGAGGCGGCTGAAGCCTACACTTATCGACCACCAAGGGATCTTTAACGTGCACAACTTGCACTCGGGACCGTCGAGATTTTTCACCCTTACGCGAGAAGGCTAAGTTTTAGGTGTTAGTAAGAAGGAGCCAAGTAGTATTAGTAGAAGCTGCACAAAGAGTCGAGAGTCCAGAGGAGGGGCAGAGGGTAGGGGGAAAGCAGGAAATGGAGACGAAAGCAGGCTTAAGAACATAGTAAGAGAACAGGAAAGGAGGTGAAAGTAGAATATTTTAGAGAAGAACATTTTCCGTTGCTGTCAGGTTCGAACACGGGACCTATTGAATGAGAGGTGACCACAAGAGCCCCCACGCATCATATCTGATCGAAATTTTAGTCTATAGATCTAAATTTTAACAACCCAGTCCAATGTGTTTTCCCTTTTGTTTTCCTTTCGATGTTTTATCCTTGGCTGTATTTCTTATTTTCTGACTGCAAGACATGATGAGCACCCCTGTCTAACTTTCACTAGCTAAACCAATTGATATGAAAAGTTACAAGAGTAGCTCTTTGGGACACTACGCAGCTGATTGTTTGAGGAAAATAGATAACGGTCAATGAACCTAGCTCCAAGTTCTGCCTGTCGAAATCTCTGAACGGACTAATGGGTCAGTCATAAAAATGGGCTCCTTTAAAAACAAAAGTTTTTGAACTATGTTGGCCTGTCAGCATCAATGTAACTATGCCAAACCTCTGATAATTCTGTGGCTTGTCAGGGAGTCTGCATTTTTTTTTCGAATTTTCCAAACCCTTAATTGTTCCGTAGTTTGAAAGATTAAACGAGGTTTTAAAAATGCAATATCAAAGTAAATAGTATTCACCCAGATGTATGCTGAAAGATTCAGCCAAATTCGCTCCTGGACTATTTCCAAAGCCCCCTTTTTAAAATAAAGCTGAAATCACCAGAAGAACCAGAAAAAAGAAGGAAAGGAAATTATCCTTTTTATTCACAACCGTCTTAAGATACTATTGACAATCGCTACATTGCAGCAATATGTTTTGTAGCTAGTATCAAGTGTTCACTTTGATTTGTTAAAACTAATGTTCGTTCTAGCTCAGCACATTGAACATTTAAATACTACCTATATGACAGAGGCAGATTTTACCATCACAGGTGATTGTGCCTGGGTCGATTTGGTACTAGAGATCGTTGCCTGATCGATTTGCTGGGAACGCGAAGATTTATACGGCACTCTTTATCTCCAACCCCAAAACACATTATTGTTTCAGTGGTGACAGTGTATCATAGGCTATCAATATGACAGTAATGGACATCTGGACAAAAAGACCCACGTCTTGTCAACCTGTTTGTTCTGGAGTTAAATATTTAAAAAAGCTCATCAGCAAACAGACATAATAATACTATAGCGTTAGTGATAATAATGTTGGCATACTATGCCCAAGAACATAGTTAGCCTCCTGGATAGTTTCGAGAATGTGACATCCACAAAGACACGGATTTTCAGAAAATGAAGCTTATTAAGTATGGACTGTGCTTGTTGACTAGGTATGGTTCTGATAAGAGATGTTGTGTATGCAGTAGATATCCATCACTTTTTATTGTGGACAAGAAAAAGGTTTTAGAAGGTGTGCAAATTGTTGAATGTGCTTGCCTGGGTTTCCAGAGACAACGAAACATTTCTTATTTGTTACAATAGTACTTCTTTTATTGTCTTAATTCAGTTCACATCTCAAAACCGTTGATGATGTGTCTTTCCCTGTTAATCGTATACTTTATAGATCTACTTGTCTTTCTACCCGTATTACTTGACTAAATCACTACCAGGAATGAGAAATCATTTTGTTTCGTTCTGGATTTTGTCAAGGTTTTACAGAAATTCTCTTGACGTCAATGGTATTTACCATAGTTCCATGACGTATGGCATTCTCGCAGCAACCACGTTAAAACACTTGAGGATTTTTCGAAAAATCCCTTTCTGATCATTTTATCAAAGCAATGATTCGTTCAGGACCTCTGTTGTCAATATGCTACCATGGAAAATACGCCAGTTCTCGACCCTCAAACTAACAAAGCATACGATCCTGTAACCGATAATGTTAATCTAAAGCCGGGTCAAGATACTCTCCAGCTCAAAGAAAAGGAACAACTAGATTATCTAGATCTAAGCGACACGTGCGAAGACTCCGTTCACGGATATCGAGTAACTGGCTCACACAGTAGTACTGAATGTAATAGATCTGAGGAGACCAAGCGCCGAGGAACTGGGCATCGATCAAAGTCTTTTTTAGGAGAATCATCCCACTCGAAAGTCACTTCTTCTCCCTTTATGCAGGGGAAGCAAGGGAATAAAAGAATTAGATCTACACACGGCTCACACGGGGATGGTCTTTCTCAAGAACAGGCATCAGATTCCAGCAGGTGAATACATTAAAAGTTAAATAACAGATATTTTAGTGATCTGATGAGGTGAACTAGAGATCAAGAT